AAAAAAGTGTTCCAGGAGTCAAATCAGTCTTTGAACAACACATTTCACACAAGACCCAAGAGTTCTCACACACATGATAAAACATTCATACATTTTTTTTAAAACGGAGAGACTACCTTACCTGTCTTGTTAGTTTTTGTTGGATTTAGCTCGACTACTTCAGGTGAAATTAAAACCAGACTGCCTACTGCTCTACACCTCCCAACTCCCAGTCTTGTTTAAAGCACACTTGGTAGAGACCAGTTTTCAGCCCTTAAGATCTGTACAACCAGCCATAATGACCACTCCAGATTTTTCCAATTAAGAGCAGCTCTGTGTGTGTTTTGGTGACCTAATGGTTGGCAGAGGACCAGCAGGTCTCCATGCTAGCTGAAACGGCCCAGATTAACATGAACTCACTGAACACTGAGACACATCCTGGAGGAAAGGAGCCACCGCCAAAAGCATGTGGTCATAGTTTGATAACATGTCCCCAATTTTCACACGCCATTGTGTAGCTCTATCACAGCTTAGGCATGTCTGGTTAACCACATATTCCATCAAAATTTCACTTTCTATGGACATGATTGCTAATATGTTTGGCAGATATTGCCTTTGTAAACACTGCAATCAGTATTTTCCACCTCTGTCATGATCAGAAAGGCAAAGTTTAGAGTTCACAGATTGTCAATCAGCAGAAAATTATCAGAGTTGGTTTTAATTCTAATGTTTTGCCCCTGTAATGTTTCACTAACTTTTATCCCTAGCAACAAAAATCACAGATATCGGGTGCTGGCTTTGACCATCCCATGTTAATTGTTAGTAATCATTAAGATGAATTTAGGAGTGTTTCTATCTATTTAAGTATCTATGTATATGAACTCTTGACTTACAAACCTGGTTTTCCCATTCACTAAAATGTCAAAGAAGTGGATTGCAGCAAGTCCTTTTTGCAGCACTGTAAGAGTTGGAGTTAAAATTAAAGTGTTGCATAACTGCAGCATGTAACACAGTCCTGAATAGTTCACAAGTCTGTAAGCACAGTAAATTATTCTGACAGTAATGCCGCCCATGTATTGTCTCTGCAACCAAACAGTTTAACCACAAACCCTTCTGATTGTGGTGCATCGTTGAATTACGCTCTGACACGCCTCACCCTGTCCTGTCCACTTGAAGTCTATTCCCCACAGAAAAGGAAGCCATAATGTGCTCCTTGGGTCTGGGGTTTAGGGTGTTAACCAGACTCACCCACATTTTTGGAAAATGACAAAG